GTTCTCTCACTGGGAAAAACGTGCACCGTTGGAAGAGAAATGCAGACTTAAATAATTAAAACAGGAGGGAAAACTGGTTTTCCCATCTGTTGCAATGGGCTCCTACACTGCAGGTGTCACCAAATTAAGATGCTTTTCTGTAAGAGCTGCTGAGACTCGTTGACTCAGAAAACACCGTAATTAATTTTTTTTTTAAATTTTGGAACACATTTCTAACTTGAATGCAGCAAAGATTTTAAATTTATTCGAGTCTTTGGATCTGAGAATAGGCTCTCCACACAAACACACACACAAAAAAGCACACCCAGATTCTTTAAAAACTCCACACTGCCATATTCCTTTCCTGCTTCGTATGTTTGTAATTATATAAAAGCTCCTGGCAAAAGCCAAACTTGGGAGATTCTGAATTTTTTTAAACAATGGAAGGATTAACATAATTCCCCAATTTTGCAGGAGACCTCCCACAAATTATTCTGAAAGTTTTTAAAGAACTCACAAACGATACAAAAAGTTTTACATTCTCTGCAATCTGCCTAAGGGAGGTCAGCTCAACCAGTTCCTGGACTGTACTATAAAACACATACACACAAAAAACCTACTCCAGAGATTTGATCAACCTATGGCTTGTTGCCATCTGAATGTAGTCAGTCCGTCAAACCGGTTTACTGATTGGTGGCAAGCAGAGTTTCAAAACTAGACTTACTAACATGGAGATAGATTCAGAACAAAGTTTGAGTCCAGTGGCACCTTTAAGACCAACAACGTTTAATTCTGGGTATAAGCTTTTGTGTACATTAATTCTGGGCATAAGCTTTTTGTGGGGAAAAAAAGTATACATGCACACAAAAGCTTATAAGCAGAAATAAACTTCGCTGGTCTTAAAGATGCCACTGGACTCAAACTGTGTTCTGGAGTGACTAACCACAGCTTGCACTCAAATTAATAACTCAGCTTGTTGAACAAGAGCAGCCTTCGTGGCCAGAGAGATGACAGCAGAAGGAATATCTCCTCCTACTGGGTAGAGGTCAGGAGGCAAGCGGTGAACAAACTACATTTTGCCTGCAAACTGAGATCTGTTATTTCCTTTTCCTTTTGTACCCTTAGAGGCTCATTGATTTGTGAATCCTGAGCAGCAGAAGACACTTATCTCTTATTTTTTTAGATGCAAGGGCTAAAAGGACTGAGGACCTGTTCATTTACATCTGGCAGACAAACCAGAGGTGGCAGAAGTTTTATCACAATGTCTGAATACAGCTATAAATCTACGTCCACATTGCCTGCTATTTGTGGCAGTCACTCAACCTCCCGGGCCAGGGTTTGCAACCTTTTACAATTAAACAGGCAACTTATGTCAAAATTTGGAGACAGATCAGCAAACAGCCAGTATAAGAAAGCTCCACAGCATAATGGAAACTATACAACTGAACATTACCAACCCCTTAGAGTGGCCATCAAGCATCAAACCAAGCCTGGGCCTTTCCCATCATGGCTCTGGCTCTATGGAATGGGCCCTCTGAAGATGTGAAGGGGGGGGGCTCCTTGGAGATCTACAGGAGGTCCTGCAAGGCCTGCCTGTTTGCCAGGGCTTTTGAGAGGGTCTGAACTGGGCAGGCATCTTTAAAGGTGGGGTAGAGGGGAAAGATTTGGGGCTTGCTATTTTTGTTTTAAACTGAAAAATGCTTTTAACTACTATTTTAAACTGCCTTGAACTTCAAGGAAAGGCTGGATATAGCTGTTTAAATAAATAAATAAATCATAAATAAATGAGAGTTCTGAAAGGAGGTTCACATGTTCATTACAAAAACTTCAGCTGTGACCCAAGCTTTCCTTATTATTATTATTATTATTATTATTATTATTATTACTACTATCACTATTATTATTACTACTACTACTACTACTACTACTACATTTTGTTTACTGAATTTTAAAATGCTTTACAGAGCAGGAATTCATTCATCACCATTCTTCTGGGCACTCAATCCAGGAGCTCAATTACATCTTGTGTGAAGCAGTATTTCCTCTAGGAGAGCACTTTACAGAGTACCCAGGACACAAACCATGTGCCGCGGACCCGAGATACCAGATGCCTCGATGTAACACTGAAAAAGATTTTCCAGTCCTCAAAATGCACAACACAATCCTGGCTGATTTAGCAAAAACAGAAACCTCAGGTGCTTCAGGGGAATAAAAAGCCCCAGCTGAGGGTTAGGAAAAACATCAAATATTAGCAGGTTACCCCACATCCAAGGCTGTGTTCTTGTGGAATTCCATGCATGAGCAATCCTAAACAGTCTGACATCTGTCACAGGTTTTAGATACATCGTTCTCTTCTGTTTTTGAAAGAGGGAATTTTTTTAGTCCTCAGGTGAGTCTGGTTTGTGTTTGCAAGCACACATCAAATGACTGAACAGAGCTCCTCGACCTTGCATAGTTCCTAGCCCCTCCCCATCCAAAGGGGCATCTTGCAAAGTCAGCGTACCCACCCCACTATGCTTTATTTCCAAACTCTCCTCCTGTCAATACTACTTCCAATTTTTCTTCGAAAATCTACATCTGATAAAAAATTCAGATCACTTCAGAATAAAACAAGCACTTTAAATCATGGAAGAAGCTCACTTTTCCATATGCAAAACCTCTTCTGGCTTTTCATACTGCCAGGCAAAAGGGATATTTTGCTCGGCACCAGATACATATTGTGCCAGTATGAAAACATACATCAAAAGCCAGATGTTGGCATCTACTTAATGACTCGTGTTGTGTGTACAGTCATTTATATGCCTGAGGCTGACATAGCACAGCTGGCAGGGAAACGCTGCGCTCTAAAGCAGGGGGTCACAGCAAACCCTTTACAATTAAAGAGCCAAACTACGTCAAAACACAGAGCAAGAGATCAACAAACAGCCTGTATAAGAAAAGCCATTTGTACAAATGAAAATATACAGCTTAACGTTACTGATAATTGACATACTGATTAATAATCCATCGTTTTGGCAGCTCAAACTCGGGTTGATGCGACTCTTTTATTAGGCAGTGGCACATGCGAGGTCTCACAATATATAATAAATGTCTACAGGAGCACCCTGCATGATTGTTTTAGTGCACTGCCATAAATCTACACATGGTTTGCACTTGGGATTACAGGCAACCATTCACCTCTATCATTTCCTTCTCTGTAAAGCTTCTCTATGAAGCCTTGTAGTCTTCATAAACATCTTTGCCTGCTATTCCCTTTACACACATTACATAACAGAGCAGCACCCAACCTATCTCCTCACTATACCTTAACATTAAAAACATTCATTTTCTTTTCTAAAGTGCCATACTCAGTCCCATACTGAGTTACAAGTTGCTGACTCCTGCTCTAAAGCATGGTTATTAAAAGGTGATTTAATGAAAGTCATGGTCTGCAGCTTTCTAACAGGAGCAAGCAGGGCACACAGAAGCTCAACAATTCCCAAACTGCGTGCCAGGGCACAGTTCACAGGCCATTTTCTGCAAGCCCAAAATGCCCACCCGTGAGGAGGATGCACATTTCACCGCTCTGGCCTTTCACCTTTCCAATCCTACAGAAGGCAATTCCAGCTGCTGAAGTGGAGAAACTGGCCTGATGCTCAGTGCCCACCATTGTGGCAGGGGGTTGCGCAGGGCAGGAGGGCCTACCGATGGCACCAAGCATCTCGGGGTCAGTCAAACTGCAGCTTGGGAGCCGCATGTGGTTCTTTCATACAGTCTAATTTAATATTAATAAAAAGCAAACTTGCATATTTTTCAATAAAAACGTGTGTGTAGTATTTGTTCATGTCTTGCGGCTCTCAAACATCTGACGTTTATTCTATGCGGCTGTTAGGTTAAACAAGTTTGGCCACCCCTGAGAAGGTGAGGCCACTGTCAAGAATGGTAGGGGGAGGTTTGCTCTCATTATAACGTTTCCTCCCAAGTACACCCACTCACTTACATCCAAGACACCAACATGGGCTATTCAGGGACACCACTGGGGTAGGGCTTCGTCCATTTCTTATTCTGTTTCTTGGGCACGTTAGCGAGGGTGATGGAATGATGGAAATCAGGAGACTGGCTCTTACACAGATGGATTATTGTCCTTTGACCCTTACGATAATGATTTGTATTGGGACTTCTGGCCACTCTCAGTAAGTTTGCAAGCTTAACTAGACACCCTCCCCCCCCAAAAAAAAAATCAGTAGTACTCCAAAATATTAAGACTCTGTCAATATTTTCTTGTGACCAGAGTAAGAGTGTTTGCTGCTAAGGATTCCCTAGCTTTACGCAGAAGGATGCATCCGCTGGAAAAAGCTCAAGAATTTTATGTATATAATTTAGATAGACATCGATATCTTCAATAGCATTTTGTGGAAGAGTGCCAAGATGCTTCAGATTAAGCAGGATTCCTGTCAATATGCATCTTAACATGAAGCACAGCTGCCATACAATAATGTCGGAGGCCGACATAAAACTAACTTACGCTGGGTCTGGTGTTCATGTTAAAACTGGCTCTGGCTGGTGAGATGACAGCAGTGCTTTGGTTTAAAGTGACTATAACAGAAAGACGTGTCTCTCAAGGAGAGAGAGGGAAAACTGTTCTGTTTTAGCGCTGATCAGACCTCCAAAGGGGCCAGCTTTGGTTGCGTTAACTCTGCTTTCTGTTTCATATTTCACTGGTTTGAAATAAGACACCACCACCATCAGTTAAGTAGAGTCTTCCCAAACACTTCCAGTAACTCGCATGGTAAAACACAATGTGGTGTAGTGGTTGGAGCAGGATCAGGGAACCCTGACTTCAAAACCACACTCAGCCATAAAGATCATTAAGCGAACTGGGGCCATTTACTATCTTTCAGCCTAGCCTACCTTACAAAGCTGTTGTTAGGATAACATTAAGGAGTAAGTGTACACTGTTCTGAGATTCTTGGAGGAAGGGAAAGACAGAAATGTGACAGAAAGATGGTAGACAGACAGTAACATTTTGCTAGGAGGCATACCTCTTAAAACTGCATTTCTTTTCAGAGTCTGCCATCCAGAGACCTGAAAAGACAGGGGGAAAAACAAACTGAAAATTAACACTACGGCCACCAAAGGGACGTTGTTCTCAGCACATTCAGCAATTTAGAAAACCAACTCGATCAATCTGGAGAGTAGCGTTGACATTTAAAGACGGTGGATGCCGCCAAAGCCAAGAGAAGAAAAGTTAAGACATATGGAGCTAACGCAGGTGTAACTAATTGAAATCCAGCTGACATGTCATTCTTCCCTGTCACCACAAGGCGACAGGTAGGGGAAGTCTCACCAATTTTCTACAGTTAAAATTCACGAGTCTAACCAAAATTAAAATCAAGCAGGAGTTAACGCTGTCAGAAGGCAAAGATTTCCCGCTTAAAGTAGGACACTAGAGGAGACTCTCCCAAGCTCTGTGTTCCCCATCTCATCTTGACCTATTCAACATAAGCAGTTGCCTCACACAGAGATAGATCAATGGTCTCCCACTCCTATCAGTAATCGTCGCTTTCTGGCGAGGGCTGCTCACTTGTGACCTGTTCCCCAAGGTTGTATCCTGATGGGGTCGGGGAAGGGGCTGCAGCTCACAGTTCTTCCCTGGCTCACACACTCCCTTGATCGAAACAGTCTGAACACAACTCTGTTGTCAAGCTACTGCCCCCTTTGTATCTCATATCCTTTCCCACCAACCACCAACCATTTTTCATTTTTAAAACAAAAACAAAACCTAAAAATGCACACGGAACCGGCCTCCTGGTTTATAACAAAGAAAGTTCCCACACACACACACACACACCTGTTTTCTAAGCAGAAAATGAGAACGCATCAATGGATTCTCTTGTTTTAGCAACAAAAGGAAGCGATGACCCTGAGAGATGAGCTGCTCCAATATGAATAAGTTATTTTACTACAGACGTCAGCTTGGTGACTTGCTTGTCTCAATAAAAACAATGTCCAATTGCACTTTATAAATACAGCAACAAACCAACGCTGTTACGTTTATAAGGAACAATAATCAAGTAACAGTTGGTCAACCTGTGCAAAATCCTCCGACAGTCTTAAAAGATGAATGTTGCCTGCTAATTTGAGAAAAATCAGGTGCACTGTCAAGGTTAAAACCAGCAGAAATCTCCCAGGTAACAACTCGTGGTCTTTGGGCCAAAGTAACTCCAGATACACATATTGGGATGTTAAGTCATGTGCTCTCCACACGAAGAAGGTATGCTCACAAAGAAAGGCAAGACTGGCCAAGTTTCAACCACCACAATCACTGCTACTGTGTAAATGCCATCTCTTTTTCCCAAAGTGGAGAAAAAGTACAAAAAATGATAGCTAAAAAGATCACAGGTTTGGAATACCTTTCTCGTATACGGCCAAAAGCCAGCTATGGTTTGCTGCGTGCATGGTTTTAAAAAAGCACAAAATAGTTAAATCGTTACAACTACTTTGTGATTCTATCCCCTTACCTTTTTTGAGGGGGGTGGGGATATTTTACACTGGCTAACCAAGTCGTTGACAGCAGGATTTTTATTTCTGCAAATAACCCTATAGATAAAAAGGTAGTTACCCTAGAAGAGAAATCAGTTCAAAACATACATCTTGGAAGGTTTTGCCTGCATCGTGGTTTGTGCTGTTCACTACTCAGATATAAAAACTGTTAAAGCTGAACATCAGACAACCACAAGTGACAAATTAAGCGTCATTCATTCTAACACACTCATTATTACATAATCATGTGCCATTTCTTCCACCTTCTCCCCCCCTCCTTCATTTAGTGAACAGATGGTGCCAAAAGAATGAATCAGAACAGTCTAGCTAATGGAACTGTATGCTGAAAATCACACCCACTGGCTGCTACACCTACAACAGTGAACACACACAATGAAACAGGAAGAAGCCTGCCCTCTTCAAGAACTGCCCCTGCCTCCTCTGCAGATTTCCCCATGCCAAGCATATTACTGTCATTAACCTGCACAATGACTTCAGGCTACATCCAACTAATTCATGCAGTAGCCAAATCACTTGCTCACAGCTTTAATGCCAGTAGCTCACAAGGCAGAATTTTTGCTCACAAGACTCCACAGCTTAGAGGGAACATTGGGCTACATCCATGACTTTCAAGGTGGAGAGTGGAAGCAGATCCACGTGTAAATCTATTACAAAGTTAGAGTCCGATGGCACCTTTAAGACAAAGAGTCTTAACTCTTTTAATAATGAGGAGGAGGAACGCAAGAAGAAAAGACTCTGAAACTAAAATAGATGTTTAACTGCAGTTTTTGTTAAAACGATATCCAAAGCTAATCTTTATTCTTAAACTTTTATTTGTAATGCTATCTTTGCATTAGTAGGTGATATAGTTATATATACATGTAATCTAGATCGAGGTCACCTTGTTAGCTCCACTCTCCCACTCCCCAATAGAATTGTAGTGTATTAGAGTTGCACTCCCCTATCCCAGTAGCTTTATTATCTATTTATTTATTCGCATTTATATCCCGCCCATCCCTAAAGTGTTGTAAAAGTAATAAAATCTTTATTTAAAAAACATAATGAGGAGGAGGAGGAGATTGGATTTATACCCTGCCCTTCACTACCTGAAGGAGTCTCAGAATGGTTTACAATCTCCTTCCCTTCCCCTCCCCACAACAGACACCCTGTGAGGTAGGTGGGGCTGAGAGAGCTCTTTCAAGGACTGTTCCTGAGAGAACAGCTCTGAAATAACTTGTAACTGACCCAACGTCACATCAGCGGCTGCATGAAGAGTGGGGAATCAAACCCGCTTCTCCCAGATTGGAGTCCACGCTCCTAATCACTACACCAAACTGTGTTGATGCTCCACCTTGATCGTTAAGACAGGTTTGGAAGGTTCTGTTAGGAAAAGCCCCATCACACTCACTATGCATTGTAAAAAGTTATGTGACTGAACTAAAATCCAGGTGTGGGGCTGATTTCAGACAGAGGCTTAGCCTGAGAAACACCCTCATCACAGCCAGGACTCCACATAAATTGGTATACTTGTTCAAAGGGCTCTTAAATCCATGCACTGATTTCCTACGCACATAATATTTACGCACCAGTACACCTTTAACCCCAGCTAGCAGATTGCTGGTGTCCCTGCTGTTTCCATTAGGTCCGTACGAGCTAATCATGAGCCCACTGTCTCATTTAAACTGTTTGAGTCTGTAGAAGGTGGAACAGTATGCTTCCTAGTATGCTTCCACTGTGCGCTGGCAGAAAAAAGCCAAGCAGCATTGTGGGAAGAGAAATCACGGGCTGTATTCCACAATCAAGGCAGAACCAGAGCTCACTAGGTATATGATTTTAACTACTGTAGTAGGGAGGGGTGAAATGGAAAGAGACAGTGTAGACAGGAATCAAGATAGCCCTACCTTTGTACATCCCTCAAGCTTCAAGTTTCCCTAGCACATATTCTGTGTTTCTGTTAGGAAGCCTCTACCTACCAGATATCTAGACATCAATAGAGTGGAAGTGTCAAAGCACACCAGCTTCTGCTCCATCACAACAACTGAAGTCAGACACAACTCTGTTGGATTTCACAAATACACCAAGACTATTTTTAAAACGTCAAAGTGCTTTTCAGCCTGTTACAGTGCCCCACCGTACTTATAAAAATCTTCCCCCAAAAGGTAATGAACACAAAGCGTAAATTGTGTGTACCCAACATTATCATGACCAAGAGCAAGAATGCAAGAAGGGTTTAACATGAAAAGAAGCCGCATATATAATACTCTTATTTTTGACTCGCAAGGGAACTAGCTACCGGGGGGGGGGGATACCTATGAGCCAAAGTGGAATCCCAGCAATAGAGTTGCATTATGAACACAGAAGACGTTCCTAATACATACAAAGCCCTAAGCGTGTAAAGCTTTAAAAGCAGCCACAGCCATCTTGAACTGAACCTGAAATTTGCTAGCAACCAATGCAACGGGCAGGCAACAGGTACATTATGCCCTAGAGCCCAACATCTCAGATATGCCCCTGTGCCTCTCTGAATCAACTGTTTATTCTGCAAAAATGGAAGCATAAAAATCAGGCCATGGATCATTACTCTCGAAGTCAGATGGAAAGCCATTGCACTTTGATTATATACAGGGGTTATTTCGTAGAAAAAGAGGTGCCGGAGCTCATTAGCATAACTCATTAGCATTCTGCATCAGTGCTTGATGGTCAAAAAGCCAGAGGAGGCTTATTTCTGGCTGGAGCGAGAAAATTTGACACATGTCAAACATCAAGACACGAAGAGTCACACAACATCGTACGATACTTGGACTAGGCTCAGATACGAAGATCACGTGGTCCTGTCATGACCTCCCGGCTGGTTATTGGATTTGGTTTACCGCAAAAATAAAATCAGAATCATCCTGAACTTACTGGAAGATGAACAGAATACAAATATGTAAATGAACAAAAAACTTTTATGATCAGAGCTTCGTGTTAATTGTATTATTTGGCATTAATTCTATTAATCTGGGCATGCGTGCCTCATCTGTTAGCCGCCCTGAGCCCGCTTGGGGAGGGCGGGTTATACATCTAAAAATAAATTTTAAAAAATGTTTAAGAGATTATTTCACAGTGTGAACTTTGAAAACTGAATCCAGCCTGCACCTGAATCGCGGGGGACTGAGTCAGAGAATCAGGCTCCCAACCTTTGATGGGGCTCCACTGGTACTCTCTCTACGTGGGGCTACCCTTGATTCAGCACCGGAAGTTGCAGCTGGTGCAGAACGTGGCAGCACAGGTACTGGCGGCGACACCTGTGCAGCCTCGCATCCACCCAGTGCTGTGTG